ATACAGTTTTCAATCCAATGTAATCCAAACTCAATCCAATTTAATCCAATTGAATACAAAAAGGTTTTCCGTATGTGTGTGTGAAAATATTATTATTATACAAATAATTGGATACAAAGGCACTGAAATGGATTTCAACATTGATGAATGTATACTTCTGAAAATTTCAATCCATTTTAATTCATTTTCGTTTACTGGAAGTACAGAATTTCCGATATTAAACGGTCTTTCAACCACTGCATTACTTGATGCCATATTAAATTTAATAAATGTCCTTTTCAAAATGGGGAAATTCAAATGTATCAATATGAGGTCGTTTAGACTTTAGAAATCGTTGCACTTCTTCTTCTCCGGACTCCAGAGTTGATGTCGATTGCCGATGAAAAGTAAAAAAGTCATTGTAAGCATTATTTTTATTTGAGTTTGGGGAATTTTCACTTGAATAAAAGTCTAATAAATCTTCTAAATAGTTAGGTAGTTTTTTCTCTTCTCTAGTTAGCCAATTTAGGTTAAATTTAGAATGTAGGCAACTTGCAATTATTAATTTTTTTTTTAAGCGTTGTACAAAATCTAAAATTATAAATAATAAATTATATATTAATATATTCATATTTTTTCAATGTTTTTTACAATAATGCGAATACTTCAATAGAGTGGAAGTTATAAAAATGCTATTCAAAATGATGCATATCTCAATAAAATTATTTCAAATTATATACATTTATGTTTAAAAATTTTTAATCATTACCTTTAAATTATAAGCAGGTTAATGAATCACTTTTTATTTAAACTTTGCTAGATGATTATGGCTAATAAAAGGAAATCCAACAATTTACTTGAAATATTTTCTAATTTTTCTTGTAAACTGTTCAAGACAGGTAGCAAATATTCCATATACATTCCCGTCATTTTATAAAATATCTAATTTCTTTGCTAAAGGTTCCATCATCTAATTCAAGAAGATATAAAAAATATCTTTTATTATTTTATATATAATTTATATATTTTATTAAATTTATATATTTTATTAAATTATTGTACATAATTTACCTGACAATACTCTCGAAATTTTTTTTCGTCATTTGTCAATGTCTGTAAATTACAATAGTTTAAACATTAATTCATTTTCTCTAAACCGAAATCTTTCAACAGAATCATCAATTGACATACGGAATTCAAAGTCGAATTCCATCTAAAATAAGAAATAAATAAATTTTTTATATTATACATAATATATTATATATATTTTGTGAAAATAATATTATAAATAACATTGTATGGGCATAAATAATATATACTCTAATAAATATTAGGATTTTATTAAAATTAAAAAAATAATAAAAAAAATAAATATAATGTATATATATATATATATATATATATATATATATATATATACACAA